CGGGCGACGGCGGAGGACGCGTGTCGGGGGCGAGGGGTTCCCGCGGCCGCCCCCTGGGTGTCCGCCGAGGGCTCCTCAGAGTCAGACCGCGGCCTTCCTCACACCCCTCGGCTGGGGGCGCCGAACGGCCGAAGCGTGGTGGGACGAGGCGGCCCTCCTCACGCCGGCGGGACCCGGCCGGGCGCCCCCGGGGGTGCTGCCCAGCGGCCAAGCCCCCCGAAAGGAGCCGACCCCAGCCGGACCCGCGGGCCGGGACTGTGGGGGCGGCGCCCTCTGGGGGCCCCGGTTTGAGCCCCCGGCTTGGGACGGGAGGGGGAGGGGGGCGGCGTCGCTGTCATACACACGGGGAGAGGGATTCCCGAAAGTACCATCAGGGGTGTGGATGACGTGTCAGGTTGGCAAACGGACTGTCAAAGGGACGCAAGGAGAGAGGGACTCCGGCATTGATGATGGTTTTAAATGATCTCTCCCTTCTCTCCGCGCTGTCCCCGCCTGCGTAAGGCTCTGGTAACTGGTCATGTCCAGAATCGTAGAGAAAGCTCCGCGTGCTGGGTGAGCCCCGCGTGTCGCAGATCCACGGTCGGAAGTGCAGAGGGCAGTTAGAACAGGGTCTGAACAAACTTGCTACGAGCCAACGGAATCGTTAGAAAACGACCCCAAAGAAAACCCACACCAACAGTAACACTCCAGAGACAATTCAGAAACACAAAGTATATTTTGCAGGAAGGGTTACAATCCTTGAAGTCTGGAAATAGTTGTGGGACTCAAGTTAGGGGTTTGTTTGTTTGTTTTGTTTTTTTACATTTCACAGTACTTTGGGAAATCCTTACAGTCCTGAATATATATGTGTATATATAGGTAATACGTGTGTGTGTGTGTGTGTGTGTGTGTACATAAATATATATATACACACGCTAGGTAGAATATATATATATATATTCTAGAATCTATGTATTCTACCTAGCGTGTGATTTACATACTTTGGGAGTCCAGGTCTGGAAATGCATTTTCCTGTGGGGTATTTAAACTGCCCTAAAACAATTTTTAGAACACTTGAGATGATATACTCATTTTGTTAGATACTTGTGCTTTTAAATACTAAACCTCAGACATTTTGATTAATTTAAACTCGTGTTCGTATTTACATTTATTTCATAGTATCTCTTGGAGGCAGATAGGATTCTGCACCCTAGAATCACCTTCCTATTTTAATGGATACTGCTTAGCCCTTGGATTCAGTCATCTCAGAGACCATGGCTTTCTAGCTTTTCATCTTTTAGAGTGGCTGCTTGTGACAATACTGTCTTCCTTGCTTTAGGCAAAAATACTCCAAGATACTTTCTAGTCCCAAAGTCCTATAATTTTAAGAAGTTGTTTGAATATATGTGGTAAGGTAATCCTACATTTATTGGTAAGTGGGTTTGACTTTTTTCTTCCAAAAAATTCATTGTAGGATTTTTAAAAATGTGAATGTTTCTCATTCAATTTACATTAAAAAAATTTTATTTTGGAACACACATTTATATACCACATTTTCTTAAAGTAGGTTAAATAATCATCGGGGTGTGTATGTGTGTGCATGTGCCCCTAAGTGCCACATACCAGTGCTTTAGGCAGAACTGGCAAGAAGCAAAATACCTCTTGGGAAAATATGTAGTTTTCAAGGAAGAAAATCGTTAGATCTCCCAGCACCTTTAAATCTAACATGTCTCACAAATACCTTTATTAATTTGTATAGGGCCATTTCTCATTGGGGTTATAAAAGATAGAGAAAATATGAAGATGAACAGGCCTTCTGGGCTGAACCTCAGCAGACACGTGATAGAGGGAGCCTGAGGCTATTTTCCCCAGTGATGCTTGCACTTCTGTTTTCAGTGTGGTTTTATGCACATTTTAGTCATAAAGGAAGGTAAAAGGAGAAGCACACAGAGAGCAACCACCTCTCTGCTATTTCTGTGAGAAGGTAGGAGGAGAGGGGAACATTGGACCCTCCCATGGTGGAAACTTGTCTTTGCAGGGAAATCTAAGTGGGTTCTCATGGGACTAATTTTGCTGTTCCTCAGCCCTGTGGTGCTTGCTCTTCCTGTGACGGTGAAGGTGTCCGTGGAGAGGCAGCTGAGGCTGGAGCTGCTTTAGGGAGCGGCGGGTGGCGCAGGCCTCCTTCCTCAGGGAAGCTAAGGACCTATCAAGTGAGGCAGATGGATGAGGCAGCAGGAGCCAGGGCTGGCATGACACAGGCCCAGCTCTGCCCTTGTGAGATTGTGGAATCTGGTAAAAATGTTCCGGCGTTGTTGTGGATGTCTGCTTGGCATCTTCTTCTCAACAGCTTGATGACCTGTGACAATTTTAATATTTCTAACCTCACTTGATCATATTTTGTGGTAAATGTGCTTAACTGATTTGCTTTTTTAAAAATTTCTTGAATGCCTCCTATGCATAGGGCACGGTGGCAAGTGCTGTGATGGAGAAGATATACAAGGGGCCAGCCCTGTGGCTTAGCGGTTAAGTGCGCACGCTCCGCTACTGGCAGCCCGGGTTTGGATCCTGGTCGCGCACCGACGCACTGGGCGCGCAGCAATGCACTGCTTGTCTGGCCGTGCTGAGGCGGCGTCCCACATACAGCAACTAGCAGGATGTGCAACTATGACATACAACTATCTACTGGGGCTTTGGGGAGAAAAAGGGAAGAAAAAAAAAAGGAGGAGGATTGGCAATAGCTGTTAGCTCAGGGTTGGTCTTCCTCAGCAACAAAAGGGGAGGATTGGCATGGATGTTAGCTCAGGGGTGATCTTCCTCACAAAAAAAAAAAGAAGATATACAAGTTTGTAAAACTCAGGCTAAATAAGGGGTGTACAACATGGGTACAACTTCCCATAATGCAAAGTGGAGCAGGACAAGGTGATGGCAGCTTCTCTTGAACTGAGCCTTGGAGGATGAGGAGAATTCCATGGTTCTGAGTTGGGGACACAGCGGGTGAGCCTCCCAAACACATGCAGGAGGATGGGCAAGTGCAGGTTAGATTCAGAGAAGTGTGAATCACATGGAATTTAAAACAATAAAAGAAAAGGACTTTAACTGAACAATGATACTTTTGCAGCTCTTGTATTATGTATAATTTTCCAAGTACTTTCAAGGTTCTTTTCATGGTATATCTTAGTTTCATTGTTCTGCTTCCCTACGTTCAGCATCTGGGTTTGCTTGACCATCATTGCATTGAGCCTGTGCCATTTAGGGAGAAAGTTCAAAGAATTCCACAGACCATACAGAGAAAACTTCATATAAGCAACCAAATCTTGTAATGAAAAATGAATTTTAAGAAAGACAAGGGAGAAAACAAACATGTTAGAATGGCACACGCTGGTTAGCTTTGAAAATTGATTTTTGATGCTCTGCCCTTGAGTTGGATAGAAGAGTGTTAAAGTAATTCTATGATTTACTGAATATAGAATGAACTTTTAACAAGATTAAAAAAAACTCTGAATTATATTATTACTTGTCAGTTTTCAAGTGAATTAATGTCCTAAAACAATGCTTTTCCAGAAGGGCAGAAAATTAATTGTAGATATGAATAGTCAGGCAGACTATTTATTATTCAAGAAAAACAATAGAATAGTCTTTAAAACCATAACTTTATATGGTGGTGTTGATAGCACTTTCTCATCTACCCTATGTTCTGAGGTTTTAAATGCTGAATTTGAAACACTGCATGATAACACGTTTTCTTAAAATGTGCACGTTTGCCATTTTTGCACCAAGCAACTTAAGTGATTTTCCGATTCTTTTTCTGTTTCCTGAAAAGCAAGTTTTCAAAGATCTTTGAAATCCTATTTCATTCCATTTGGAAAACATATGTAATAGTCTAACCTAGGCTTCAGGTTGTTCGTATTATAAAACTTTTTTTGTGTTAAGATGATACAGATGTATAACTCTTATTTTACTGAACTGAAATGATACCTAACTTTAGGTGTAGTTCAGTTTTGAGTATTTTAATATTGGAAATAGTTGCTCTAAATTGAATTAATACTCTGGATTTCTCGTCTCGAGGGCCTGGTTCCAGTTTACCTAGGTCTTTTGCCCCTGCTGTGCCCGTTGTTTAAAATGTTCTCCCCATTTGTGAATCCCATCCAGCCTACAAGGAGCAGCTTGCATGCTGCCTTCTGATCTTTTTTCAATTGAAAGTGATATTTCCTCCAGCTTTCACAGTACATTATCTGAGAAGCATGTTGGCAGTTTTACCTTGCATGTATTATAGTTGCGTGTGTGTGTAATATGTGTCAGTGTGTGTATGTGTGTCTCTTTCTGTATACATGTTTTTTTTTTTTAAAGATTTTTATTTATTTATTTTTTTCCCCCCAAAGCCCCAGTAGATAGTTGTATGTCATAGCTGCACATCCTGCTAGTTGCTGTATGTGGGACGCGGCCTCAGCATGGCCGGAGAAGCGGTGCGTTGGTGCACGCCTGGGATCCGAACCCCAGGCCGCCAGCAGTGGAGCACTCGCACTTAACCGCTAAGCCATGGGGCCGGCCCTCTGTATACATGTTTTATAGCTTCTACTAGACTCTGGTTCTTCGTTTTCCAGTATTATCCCTTGCACATAATAGTTCCTTATCATTCACTGGATGAATGAATCTCC